CGAAATTTTGACTTTTTTCTCAGAATTCTGAGTTTATATCTCGAAATTCTGACTCTTTTTCTCAGAATTCTGAGTTTATATCTCGAAATTCTGACTTTTTTCTCAGAATTCTGAGTTTATATCTCGAAATTCTGACTCTTTTTCTCAGAATTCTGAGTTTATATCTCGAAATTCTGACTTTTTTCTCAGAATTCTGAGTTTATATCTCGAAATTCTGACTCTTTTTCTCAGAATTCTGAGTTTATATCTTGCAATTCTTTTTTTTAAACCAGGATTCTAAGTTTACATCTCTAAATTCTGAGTTTATATCTCACAATTCTGACTTTTTCCCTCAGAATTCTGAGTTTGTCTTGCAATTCTTCTTTTTTTTAAACCAGGATTCTAAGTTCACATCTCTAAATTTTGACTTCTCTAAATTCTGAGTTCATATCTCAAAATTCTGACTTTTTTCCTCAGAATTCTGAGTTTGTCTTGCAATTCTTCTTTTTTTTTTTACCAGGATTCTAAGTTTACATCTCTAAATTTTGACTTCTCTAAATTCTGAGTTTATATCTCACAATTCTGACATTTTTATGTGAATTCTAAGTTTATGTCTCGAAATTCTGACATTTTTCCTCAGAATTCTGAGTTTGTCTTGCAATTCTTCTTTTTTTTTTAACCAGGATTCTAAGTTTACATCTCTAAATTTTGACTTCTCTAAATTCTGAGTTTATATCTCACAATTCTGACTTTTTTCCTCAGAATTCTGAGTTTGTCTTGCAATTCTTCCTTTTTTTTTTTTTTTTTACCAGGATTCTAAGTTTACATCTCTAAATTGTGACTTTTTTTCTCTAAATTCTGAGTTTATATCTCGCAATTCTGACTTTTTTTAAACGTGAATTCTAAGTTTATATCTCCGAATTCTGACTTTTTTCCTCAGAATTCTGAGTTTGTCTTGCAATTCTTCTTTTTTTAACCTGAATTCTGAGTTTACATCATCTCGAAATTGTGACTTGTTTGTCTGAATTCTAAGTTTACATCTCACAATTCCAGCGTTTTTTCTCTGAATTCTGACATATAATCTCAGAATGGTGAGATTTAAACTCAAAAAATTATAAAAAGTCAGAACTGCGAGACGTAAAGTTGCAATTACCTTTTTTTTATTTTTTCTTATTCTGTGATTATTTTTTATTCTTCCGTTTGAATTCAATTCGTTAACTGACAGAAAGCTGCTTGGTTTGAAAGTGACTTGTGTGTGAGCTGTGCTTCTTACATCACTACACTATTGTCAATATACAATAGACCTTTTTTTGTCCATGAAATTTTGCTGAAATTATGATAATGTGACTGCATCTTTACACTGAAGGAGGGACTCAAGCCATATCTAGAGATATTGTGTTTAAAAGACATTTTTAGTCATTTTTTATGTATGCAAAGATAAGCTTAGCAACAATGACCTTAGCTCCAGGGAAAGATAAAATGCTCGGATGAAATTGCAGGGAAGCATGATGACATCCTAGCCATATTTCAATTAAGAAAGCGAATTGTAAATTAGCAAGATTATTGAAGAACGAAAGTACAACAACAATGCTTGTGTGACTGCCAAATACTGTGATTGTTCAGATCTGGAGTGAACTATTAATTGCAGCGTTAATTGTTTGGCTGCTATCTAATAACCAGCACTGAAGCACAGGAAGGTGACTGTGGTGAGCAGCTGGATTATTTCACTGTTTCTACAGGATTTTCCCATCATTGTTTTCCTCCAGTTTGCTCCTGTGCTAGTTTGGCCGCATGAGCGATTGCAGCGCTGCCTAGTTGTTTTTATGATGTTTTTGTTTTGTTGCACCATTGTTTATTACTATCAGCTTTCGTCAGGCCAATAACACAACAAACTCTGAGGCTGATGAGTTGAGTACAAACTAGAGATCGTTCAGATTTGTCTCTCATTTCTCAATTTGCTTTATGGGGCTACTCTGGCACCACTGAAAATGATATCAGATAAACAAGTTTAACGTCGGGTCATATAAAGCTATTTGCAAATGTCTGGTCCGATAAGACTTTTTCATTGCAACGAAAGATGAAATCCACAATACTTTGTGCTTTTTTGTATTAGAAAAACTTCATATGTTAAATAAATGCCACACACTATTTTTTTTTTTTTTTAAGAAAAGACACATTAACTTGGTGAAAAAGGTCAGTTAAAATATTTATAATGTTCCAAAAGATTTCCGTTTCATGTAAATTCTGATCTTTTGAGCTTTCTATTCATCAAAAAAAATCTAGAAATAAAATGTATCATGGTTGTATCAGCACAGCTGTTTTCAACATTGATGACAATATAAAAAGTTTCTCCAGCATCAAATCAGCATATTAGAATGATTTCTGAAGGATCATGTGACGCTGAAGACTGGAGTGATGATGCTGAAAATTCAGCTTTGCATCAAATTAATAAAATATATTTTAACATATATGACAATAGAAAACAGCTCTTTTAAATAGTGTTTTAGCGTTCCTTTGGCTCAGTGGTAGAGCATTGCGTTAGCAGCGCATAAGGTTGTGGGTTTGATTCCCAAAGAACACACATACTGGTAAAAAAAATGTATAGCCTGAATGCACTGTAAGTCGCTTTGGATAAAAGCGTCTGCTAAATGCATTAATAAATGATTAAATAATATTTCACAATATTACTGTTTTTAATGCATTTTTGATCAACTAAATGCAGCCAGGTGAGCATAAGCATTACAAAAATGTTTTGAACAGTAGTGTACAGTACCTGCTGGAAAGAAAAATCAAGCTCAGTGAGGCAAGAAAATTGAGCCTTTCTCAGATTTTATCCTGGGAACCCAAATATTGTTTTTCCAAGACTAAATGATGTAATCTATGCTATCAGGAACGGTGTGATTTATTTCTATTTGTATTTTTTCCTTGGCAAGATATTTAAAAATGTTTGGCCGATTCAGGAGTTGATACTTAAACAACATAATTGCATAATTTCTCTTTCAAAAGCAACATGAGCGATTGAAAGTTCCTCTAAAATAAGAATAAACCAAATGAATTACAAACTGCACCAGAGGGAACTATTGTGCGCTTTCAGTGCAGTGTTGACCTCCCTCCTTGATCGCATCAAATCATCCAAAGTCATTTACATGAAAGAAAAGTCTCCCCTGGATCAGATTTTATGAATCTAGCAGAAAAAGGTGCTGAAACAACAGGTCTGCAGACCTCCTCACGGATCTTTTGTTTGAGGACTATACAGTAAGATGCCAGTCTTCAAGTTTCCACAGAAATGGTCTGACAAGTTTCTAATGCATTGACCAAATCCTCTGTATTGAAGAAACAGCCTTCACTGATTAAGCCCGCTTCGCTGGAGGCCCCATACTCAAATCTGAAGTACTTAAAAACAGAGAAAATTGAAATAGTTTTATGTATTATAGTAGATACTATCAAATATACATCAATTAAAATATTAGTATATGTTTTCAAAGCACTGGCAAACAGCGTCTGAAAGCAAATGAGAGATATCAACATTATTTCGATGAGAGGAAATTTCCTAATACAGCCCAGGTTCATTCACTGGCCTGCTGCATGCTTCATTTTTTTCTCCAGCAGGGTTACAGTGTCAGCATCTTCCTAATTTAAGCGGCCTTTGATGTGTTTCTAGAATAAATATAGTTTGGCCTGGTAACCTGTCACACAGTTTCCTGGGCAGTATTTACAGAGCAGGGTCTCACTATTGTGTTGCTCTCCGGGCATCTTCCTTTTGTATGTAGTTCTCTGTGAGGAAAACCACAATGCACGACTATACATGCATGACCTAGAATGGATAATTTAAAGGCACAATATGTAATTGTTTGCCACTAGAGGGCGCACTGTTTTATCATACTAGATACATTTGAACGGTCTGTTATAATGCTACTCTGTGCGGTCGTCACCGGTCTAATAAAATGCATAGCAAATTAAAGCGTCTTTGGCGTTTCCATGTTTTCTACAAAACAAAACCGGAAATCGAGGGGTTATGACGTCATTGGCAGGCGACACAATGACACTATAGACACGCTCCGTGTCACTAGTTAAAATTGCTTATTTCTCTGGATTTAAAAATTCTTCGAAACATTTGGGATAATGTAAGTACACAAGTCAGCAAAATATATAACACTGTTCTAATGGTTTTTGGATATTTTAATAAAAAAATCTTACATATTGTGCCTTTAAGCATACAAAGGCTGTCTCACATGCATCCATGCAAACCATTATAGTGCAAACATTTACACAAACTGGATATGATGTTATGCTGCCACCATGTGTCAGATCTCTACAGCATGCAGTACTGGGAGAACTATTTACATGAGCCATCTTTTTTTTTTTAAATGTATTAAATTTAATAACTAATTGCGCCAATGAAAGAATTTTTGTTTAATAACAGCCAAATCCAGTAGGTTTATTAATCAAATTATTGCATATTAAAAGAATTTGGGATTTATTAATTAATTAATTTCACATTTAACTAAAGAATTAAATAATTATTTTATTTATTTTTAATATGTACACTTATAGGTCGGTTCAAAAGAGTTTTTCTTTCACATTTTTATTGTTACATATTATTATACATATTTGAACTGTCAATTTATTGATTAATACTTTCACTATCTATCTATCTATCTATCTATACTTTATATATACTTTGACTTTATATACATGTAATTTTAAAATTGAATATAGTACAACGTAATTTTCAAATGGAAAAATAGTTCTGCTATGGTTCTACTCAGGTTTAGCTACTGTTAGGTCCACCCCTGTCCATCCGGCAGCATCATATTTCTTCCAGCTGTTCTCCGAGGATACATATAAATCCTACTATGGCGAAACCTCATCTCATTAATATTAATTACGTAATGCTTCCGTTGTGCGGCTGCCATCCAATAGCGATGGACTCGCGCAAACATTCCTCGGTGACCGTCCAATGGAGAAGGCTGGGCTAATGAATATTAATGAGAACGCCTTCTCCATAGTGCGAGTTGCGATTTGGGGTTCCGAAAGCGGCCGGGATGACGAGCAGCGTCAGGTACAAGAGCAGGGCGGTGAAATCAGGTAAGATAAGTGAGGTATTACCGGTATGTGACTGAAATAACAGCAAGATTTAATAACGGAAAAGTAATTTGTCTGTTTGCATCAATCGCTCTGGATTTCTTAACCCCTAAATGGGCGTCTGCATCCTTCACCTGCTGCGGGCGTCTCACATCACACAACAGAGGATGCAGAGGTAAGCTACTTTTTAGTCTGCAATTATCAACTTAAATAATGTGCTGCGTATCTATGTGTTTGCCATAGGTTGATTCACATCTGCGCGCATGCTGCATATATTTCTGGGACAGTGGGCTGGGTTGCTGTGAATAGAGCCATGGGGCTCATATAACGGTCCTGTTTGGTTGTGAGAGTAACAATGAACACCAAAATATTATATTCTGCATATTCGGTCTGACATTTAAGTGTTGCAAATAACGTATCCGTCAAATGAATAGATGCTGTCCATTTTCAGGAATGCATGAAACTAATCCTCACTGCCAGCTTTCAGTGTCCCACGCTCTGGATTTCTTAACGCCGCGTCTGCATCCTTCACCTGCTGCGGGCGTCTCGCATCACACAACAGAGGATGCAGAGGTAAGCTACTTTTTAGTCTGCAATTATCAACTTAAATAATGTGCTGCGTATCTATGTGTTTGCCATAGGTTGATTCACATCTGCGCGCATGCTGCATATATTTCTGGGACAGTGGGCTGGGTTGCTGTGAATAGAGCCATGGGGCTCATATAACGGTCCTGTTTGGTTGTGAGAGTAACAATGAACACCAAAATATTATATTCTGTATATTCGGTCTGACATTTAAGTGTTGCAAATAACGTATCCGTCAAATGAATAGATGCTGTCCATTTTCAGAAATGCATGAAACTAATCCTCACTGCCAGCTTTCAGTGTCCCACATTTCATCACAATCTCTGTTTGACCTCACTGTAGAGCAGCAGGAGAACTGCATGCATTGCATCATTTGAGGACAATGAAAACGATGCTGATACCACCAGCCACTAGTCCTAACATGCTCATTAAAATTAATTGAATCTAATTACATAATAATTTTCATTATATGCATGAATCTCAAAGACATTTCACCTCAAAATCAAAATGGTATTTTGCAGAAAGAAAATGAATTATGTTTGTTTGCATTGTGACACTTTTTTTCTTAAAAATTTGATTAAATGTTACAGAAATAATGTCACAATGCAAAAATCTTCATAGTTGCAAAAGTAGGGTTCATTTACTTTATGCAAAATATAATTTTGCGCATTTTATTTTATTTTTTTACACTTTTGGGATTACATTTCCCATTAGTATTTTTAAATTATAAATATCCTAGTACATTTTTTATATGCCTATTTTAATGTTTTTTATGAGGTGTCGCACTGTTTTGCAATATTTCTCTGATTTCATATTCCTCTTAAATCTTGAAAAATTCTGATGCTCATGTGGTGTGCTCTGCGCACTGGCTTAGAAAATGTCTAAATGTGCACTGTATGCCCACCCGAGGGCGAACTGTCAGTCAACCTGGGCGACTGATGAAAATAACACTAATGCCTCTGTCTGCTAGGAAACGTTCAATTTATTTCTTGTCTTGTTTCTCGGTGAACGCCCACGAATACATGCACACAGCTTCCAGTGACTGAGACTGTTGCCAGTCGTGCATGAAAGCAAAATCCAATATCCATGCCTCTGGGTGAGGATAAACCTCTTTCCCTGATTCCCAGACAGGCCTAACAATCCTGGAGATGAAGCCAAGTGGGAGAATCTATTGCGAAGTTTGTAACCTTCATTTTTGATCCAAAATATATATTTTTTGCAATATAATATAATGCTTTCTCAAAAACAAACACTAATTAGTCTTATTGCATTTGTGTTTCATACAAACACAGATCCTGCAAGGTATGTAAAACAAATTTGCATATTCTGCTTCCCTTTAAGATGCATTGGACCAAAAAACAGGGCTAATTTTGCATATCTGCGATGCAAACCAAGCATAATGATTCTATATGACAGTAGAGAGGTTTTATATAATAGGACAAATGATATAATATTGTAAATATGGACCGTGAGGCCTTCGGCACTGGCCGCTCCCACACAAACTCTCTAAGCACAATGAAACATGGCAGGAATTCTGGGATTGCCCTAGTAAAGATGTGAGTGTGGCATACATCAGGCTGGCTGTGTTGGGGTTGGGTGCTAGGATTCATCTTTATCCCGCAGCTATCACATGATTTGCTTTGCTGATGTCTGTTTTTGCATACTGTACAGTTGTTTTGATATGGAAATTAATGTGGTAGTATTAGCATTGCGCTATTAAATGATGTCATTATATGCCATTGTTTTAGGAAAAAGAGTATGTCGGCTTCGCCACCCTCCCGAATCAGGTTCACAGGAAGTCGGTCAAAAAAGGCTTCGATTTCACACTCATGGTGGCAGGTGAGGTTCTTATCACCAGTGTTGTTATTGTTAACCGAAACTCATTTTAAAACTATTAAATATTGTATTTCTTAAAGTGATAGTCCACCCAAAAATTAATATTTGATTGTCATTTATTTACCCATGCCTTTCTGTATGTTTTCATGACTTTCTGTCTTCTGTGGAACAGAAAAAAAGAAGGTCTTTTGAAGAATGTTGGTGACCAAACAGTTTTGGTTCCCATTGACTGATTCTATAGTAAGGACAAAAAATACAATGGAAGTCAATGGGATCCAAAACTGTTTGGTTATCAACATTCTTCAAAAGATCTTTTTTGTATTCCACATGCAGAAGAAAGAAAGGCACACAGGTTTGGAACAACCTGAGGCTGAGTAAATTATGACTTTTAATATTTTGATTTTATTTTTTTGAATTTTTATTTTTGGATGGACTATCCAATTGAATTAAAATAAAGCTTAAATAAAATATAAATATTAAATGAAAAACGTCAAATTAAAAAACTGAAATGAAATTTAGAAATATTCCCTTGGCAAGTAACTGAATTAAAATAAGGTGAAGTTCATGTACTAAAATGACTCAAACTAAAACTGAACTAAATATAAATGAAAGTTAAATAGAAACATAAAAAAAACCATGCAACAAAATTACTACAACTTAAACTAAGAATAAAATTAAAACTGAAAATATAAATATGACTCAAAATATTCATAAATACTATAATAGTATATAAAAATACTAAAATGACACTGCTTATAACCAAAAACAGCACGTAACAGTGTTATTTTAGTATAATTGAGAAACTATTAGTGCTAATTAATATTTTGAATACATTTTTATTTTTATATTTTGCATTTTTACTTAAAATATCAGTAATTTTGTTGCGTGTTTTGTAAGTTTTAGTGTTTTTTCTTTTTTATATGTAGGTTTATATAATTGTTTTAATTAATTTTTATTTCAGTTTTAGTTTTAACTGAGTACATCAAGTTAAAATAAATTAAAATGAGAAATGCTGCTGAAATAGGGGAATAAAACGTTTTTTTTATATATTTTATTTTGTTTTAGTATTTTTTTAATCAACATTTGTTTTGTCAAGTAATGAAAATGTGTTTTTATTGGTTTTAATTTCAGCTTTGATATAACTATAATAACCCTGGGAAATAAAATGTCTTTTTGCCCATTTTAATGATTCATATAATGGAAAGAGGACAGATAAAGATGGGGGATTCAAACGTTCCTCGACCACATGAGCAAAAACGGCATTTCTGCATGTTTACACTCGTTGTCTTTTAGGGGAGTCTGGTCTTGGAAAGTCCACCCTGATCAACAGCTTGTTCCTCACAGATCTGTACAAGGACAGAAAACTACTCAACGCTGAAGGTATATTTCTGCTCCCATACTCACAGACTTACTGCAATTTAAATGATCCCATCTAAAAGACACATTTGTCCTTCCTCAAAAATGTATTTTGTGTTTAGAGCGCATCAGTCAGACCGTGGAGATCATCAAACACACGGTTGACATCGAGGAGAAGGGCATTAAGCTGAAGCTGACCATTGTAGACACACCAGGTTTTGGAGATGCTGTCAATAATACAGAGACGTAAGTACTTAAAGGAGACATATTATGCCCCTTTTTACAATATGTAATATAAGTCTCTTGTGTCCCCAGAATGTGTCTGTGAAGTTTCAGCTCAAAATACCCCACAGATCATTTATTATATCATTTTGAAAATGCCTATTTTGAGTGGAAGCAGAAACACGCTGTTTTTCGAGCCTGTCTCTATAAAAGCAAATGAGCTGCTGCTCCCCGCCCCCTTTTCCAGAATAGAGCTGCGCCATTACTGCTCGTACCTGCTAAAAAACATCTGTTTTGGTTTTGATTATCATTTATCGCGCTGAAATCATGCGTTTTAAACCATATTCGTTTAAACTTCTGATATACGGTTTTCTGAGCGCACACATCCGAAGCACACGCACAGAAAGCGGCTGTCACAGCATGTGAGTACTAAACTAAGTTCTCATTCACACACAAGTTTACGTTAAAAACACACATGAGTTACAAAAAACAGTAGGTTATGTCTGTGAAGGTAAACAGCTGGGAAATAAATCGCATGTTTATTTTAGATCTGTGTAGCAGCAGCAATATACATTAAATAAATCAATAAATAAACCACTGCTCTGTTGTCTCCTCTGAGGCTGGGACTCTAAACAGTGTTCTGTGCTCGTCTGTGCAACCAAAGACAGAACAGTTAGCATGTTTTGCTCAAACTTTCGCCATGGCGTTAAAGCTAGTACACCGTTGTCGCTGTGTGACGGCGCCGTGGGTGGAAACGTACAAATTAAGGGGCGGTAATATTAGTTAATAATAATTATAATGAGATCCCTTTGCCACGTCACCAAGGGAGCGAAATCAGATGTGCTAGTTTTTTCAGACGCTTGCAGAAAAAGGCTTACCAAAATAAAGTTAATGGGTTAATCTTTTTCACGTTTCCTTGGTTGGTAGATGCACCGGGGACCTGATTATAGCATTTAAAACCTGGAAAAATTTGATTTTCATGATATGTCACCTTTAAAGGTAAGCTCAGATTTGTTAATTATTGGTAGTTTTCTGTTAACAGGATATTTTATCTCAATCCTCAGCTGGAAGGCCATTACTGACTATATTGACCAGCAGTTTGAACAGTATTTTCGGGACGAAAGCGGCTTGAACAGGAAGAACATCCAGGATAACCGTGTCCACTGCTGCTTGTACTTCATCCCTCCATTTGGACATAGGTAATCCATCCCTGCCTCTCTGCTAATATATTGTACATATCTGAATAAAATATGTTCAGATAAAAGCACTCCTGTAGCTCAAACAGTAGAGCATGGCGCTAAGGGTTATGGGTTTGATTCTCAGGGAATGCATGAACTAAAAAATAAATATATAAAAATATCTTAAACATACACATTAAATGCAACATAAGTTGCTTTGGATAAAAGCGTCTGCCAAATGCATAAATGAAAATGAAATACATGAAATGTTACATGTTAAATTTTGCAAAATAAAGTAATTTTGAAATAATTAATTCTGAAATAAGAATAAAAAATATGAGTGCTGTCAAACGATTAATCGCGATTAATCGCATCCAAAATAAAAGTTTTTGTTTACATAATATATGTATGTGTACTGTGTATATTTATTATGTATATATAAAGACACACATACAGTATATATTTTGGAAATATTTATATGCATATACATTTATATATTTTTATTCTTGTATTTTATATTATAAATAAATATATTTAATATATTATGTTTGAACTGAAATGTGTGTTGGCAGTGTGTGTACACAACCACATTTTTATAATGATAAAAATCCACCCAGTGTTTTTTTTTTATCTGCTCATACCTTTACCCCTTTCTCAAATCGAGCTGATCTAGCATATTAGAATGATTTCTGAAGGATCATGTGACACTGAAGACTGGAGTAATGATGCTGAAAATTCAGTTTTGCATCACAGGAAAAAAACTATTAAATGTTTTAAAATATATTAAAACCAGAAAACATTTTAAATTGTAATAATATTTCACAATATTACTGTTTTATTGTATTTTTAATTAAATAAATGCAGCCTTGGTGAGCAGAAGAGACTTCTTTCAAGAACATTTAAAAAAAAATGACTGACCCCAAGTATTTGAATAGTAATATGTATTTCATACTACTCGATTATGAATGAACAAAAAAATCTTATTGTTATATGGCCTCTAGACTCTAAATGTCTCTTTTTTTTAAAGCAAAGTGAATAAAGTATCTCAGAGCGAATAAGCCCCCTCACTCTCTCTTGCCCCCTCAGGCTGCGGCCTGTGGACGTGGAGTTTATGAAAGCACTGCAGGACAAGGTGAACGTGGTTCCACTCATTTCCAAGGCTGACTGTCTGACGCCAGCGGAGATGAGGAAGATGAAGGACAGGGTAACGTGGATCAGCCTGTTTATACATGCACGTCCTCGCTCCATGTGTCAGGGCTTCTGTTCTAACGTAACCAATGTTTTTCATCCTTCTATTCAAGGTGAGGGAGGAGATCGAGAAGTTTGGAATCAAAGTGTACCAGTTTCCAGACTGTGATTCCGATGAGGACGAGGAGTTCAAGCAACAGGACCGAGAGCTAAAGGTCAGTATTATGACTCGTAAACGGATGCTGGAGTACTTAATGACTCGAGACACGAAAAGTGATGTTCGCTGTTCCATCCAAGGTTGATATCTGGTTCATAGGGTCCACGCCAGATTAAAACCATTAGGAGTTTGACGAAGAATCAAAGTCACTCATCCAAAACCAAATGCGCTGCTTCCATTAAGGGGTTTAAGGTTTGACTGCTGGTAGATGCTGTAACTACTCACAAATAATAATCTCACAAATAACGCAAATAATAATAATAATAAAAAAATCTAAGCAAAAATAATATTTAAAAAATTATCAATTCAAATAAAAAATATATAAAAGAAAAATAAATATTTCACCTGTACAAGAGAATCCATCACAATCTTTGAAAAACTACTGTAAGCTCAACTTTTCCTGCAGAAACTTTAAAAGCAAATGAATAATATAAAAAATAAACAATAAAATAAATAATAATCATAAAGTAAAAAAAAAAAAAAAAATGACCTTAAAGGGTTAGTTCACCCAAAAATGAAAATTCTGTCATTAATTACTCACCCTGTTGTTCAAAACTCATAAGACCTTCGTTCATCTTCGGAACACAATTTAAGATATTTTTGATGAAATCTGAGGGCTCTCTGACCCTCCCATAGACAGCAAGGTAACTACCACGTTCAAGGTCCAGAAAAGTGATGCAGTAGAGACGAAAATGTGGAAAAAAGCCTCATACACACTGGGACGATTATCATGTGCGCTTATCGCCGAAGTTTTTCGACGCGTCTTTTGTGTTCATACCCAAGCGATTTTCGCCATAAATGTATTAAAAGGTTTTTAAACAGATTTGTGTGCATATTTTTTTTTTTGTCACAGTGGAGAATCAGTCCCATTGTGATTTTGTCAAGCTGAGGAACATGTTGATTCGCACACACATGCACGACCTGAAAGACATCACGTGTGACGTGCACTATGAAAACTACAGGGCACAGTGCATACAGCAAATGACAAGGTAAGTCACAATGCTTTCCTACTAAATAAATATCATAGAAAAAGATACTTTGCCATTGACTTTATCGCTTATGAGATGTTCTGTTTCCACCAGCAAACTGACCCAGGATAATCGCGTGGAGAGCCCCATCCCGATACTACCACTGTCCACCCCGGATGTAGAGACAGAAAAGCTGATAAAGATGAAGGATGAAGAGGTCAGTCAGCTGTCCTGCTTAATCTAGTCATTTCAGTTCTTAGCTGTTACTTTATAAATGTGGCATTGAGCACAAAACTAGTGTTTTTGAGACATTTGCAATCAGGGCCTAAAACATTTTGCTGCACCTGAAAATCAAGCGACTTGAGAAAATGTACCTGCCATAAATATTTTTTTTTACCAGCCATGAAACTGTATGTGCATTATTTCATTAAAAATCAGGTAGAACAAATAGGCAATTGCAATCTTTATTATTATTATTATTTTATTAAATAATAATAATAATTGTATTTATTTATTTTATTTATTAAAAATAAACAAATCAATAAAGAAATATCCCTGTTATACTATTTAACTGTAAAGTATCTCATAATAATACATTCAATTTATATAACAATGCTAATTATTATTATTATTATTATTTTATATAACAACAGTACAATTACAATACTAATATTTATGGTTGATTTTGTTCTTTGCTTTCCAATGTTAGCTATCATTTTGCCATAAATCTCACTAATATTCATATACTCCCCAACGCTGGTTTTTATTCACCTTTGGTGCTTGGCGAGTGTTAATTTTAGGCACTGTTTGCAACCCTAAATGCTGAATCTGCCTAATATTGCTGACTTTGTCCCTCACAGTTGCGGAGGATGCAGGAGATGCTTCAAAAAATGCAGCAGCAGATGCACGAACAGGACCTGTGAACGCCGCCCTGAGCAAAAACCTCTGATTTCAACTTGTCTGCACTTTTACATAAGCAGACACATAACACTTTAACATCATCACACTGAAGGATTTTCAGTAGATAAGCAAACAGATGTATTTGTATGTCAAACACAACACAAACATATGAATGCATGTGTCGAGCACTACGGTTAAAAGGGTCACTTCACCTGAGCCTGATATCTAAAACCAGGCTCCAAGTTAAAAAATTTGGCAACACTAAAAGTTGTTTTCACACTTTGTACAGTCCATATGATGCTGTATGACTGTTTCCATGGCAAAGACTGCTGCTTTATTCACAGTAGACATGGCAAATGTTCTGTCTTATTCTATTGTTTTTTGTTTGCTGTTTTTGTGATCTGTTTCAATCCCAGTTTTTTTTTATATTTTTAGTAATGTGTGTGTGTGTGTGTATGTGTTTGTGTGTGTGTGTGTGTGTGTGTGTGTGTGTGTGTGTGTGTGTGTGTTCGCGCAAGTTTGTGCGCCTGTGCCGATTTGCTTAAAATAAGAGCAATGAGTGGAAAACTAAATATCTGAGTGATTTTCTACTTTTAAAACAGCTATACCAATAAGTTATTACATCTTGAACAATGTTTAGAAGTATCAAAACATTTGCAGTGTTAAAGCAAATACTTTAACCTTAATTCTTCTTCATCATTCATTTGTCTCTGAAGGCCTTGTCAGAGCACCTTGAATTGCAAACTTTGCTGTATGTTGAAGAGAATTTTCACTGATCCATGCAACCTTTTGTCTACCTTATGGATTGAACATAAAAATTTGATTCTTTATGACAGTTTTATGTAATTCAGGTTTTAATATGCCACTTAGGACGACTGTTCCAGTCTTAAAACACCTAATTATTTATAATATTTCACAAAATGGATATCAGACAATCTGTATCAGTGAATAGGCGCCGACATCTTTTATATCACCTGTTGTTGTTGGTTTTAGATGGGTGCATTGAGATATTGATTCATATGCCCTGTATGTGTTTACTCAAGCTATTCCTATAAGCATGACAAATGCACCATCTGCCATTTATCATGATTCCTTTGAAAAATAAACACATCTTCTGTGGTGAACCTGTCTGGTCTGTACATCTTTTCACCTTTGGTAAATATATATTTTTTTAGATTTCTCATGATATATTTCCACTTTCATGTCATTAATAGCCAAATTTATATTTTCCATGACATATTGGTTCAGGTATTAAAATATGTGACTTTGAAAGTATACATAAAAGGTTGAATCGAAAATGCTTGTGTGCAAGTGGTGGGGATTTTGAATCATCCCAGTGACTAGAATGATTTGAAAGATTCATTCTGTGAGACACTCGCCGATTCATTCAAAACCACCAACCGAAACGTCTCGGTTACGTATGTAACCTTGGTTCCCTGAATAGGGAACGAGATGCTGCGATGGCGCTACGATAACGCCTGACGTACCTAAGATAGCTGGAAGACCGAGGAAAGAGTCTGCTCAAGCGGAAGAGACCCGGGAGCCAGGAGCCATCCTCACGTCCAGACAGTAGAACTTGATAAAAGTGCTAGGAGAGGACCATCCTGCCGCAGCACAGACATCTTCCATCGAAGGCCTTTAAAGAGAGCCTGAGAGGAAGCCATTGCTCTCGTAGAATGAGCACGCACCCCTAGAGGCGAAGTCAAACCATGCGCCTCATAGGCCAGAGATATAGCCTCCTCTATCAATGTGACATTCACTGTTTGGTGACAGCAGACCCTTTGCTATTACCAAAACACACCAACAACTAGTAGAGCCACGATACTCGGCTGTGCGGTCAACTTATAGATCTTCAGTGCCCTCACCGGGCAGGACTCAGAAGTTGCACATCACTATCTGACCCCGCATTAGGTCTCGGTTACGTATGTAACCTTGGTTCCCTGAATAGGGAACGAGATGCTGCGATGGCGCTACGATAACGCCTGACGTACCTAAGATAGCTGGAAGACCGAGGAAAGAGTCTGCTCAAGCGGAAGAGACCCGGGAGCCAAGAGCCATCCTCACGTCCAGACAAATAGAACTTGATGAAAGTGCTAGGAGAGGACTAACCTGCCACAGCACAGACATCTCCCATCAAAGGCCTTTAAAGAGAGCCTGAGAAGAAGCCATTGCTCTCGTAGAATGAGCACGCACCTCTAGAGGCGAAGTTACACCACGCGCCTCATAGGCTAGCGGTATAGTCACTATATGACCCCGCATAGCAGGGGAGAAAGCCTCCAACCACTTGCTGAAAGCGAAACGGAGTCGAAGCAGCATTAGGATTAACTCAGGCCTAGGCAGCAGTAAGACTTTAACCAGCCCCGGGACAAAGTCCATACAAGAGGAGCTGATAGAGCCTGCAGATCCCCAGTTCTCTAAGAGAGAATAGAATCACCAAAAAACTGTCTTAAGGTTCAAAAGTTATCTGACACAGACTTAAACGGCTCAAATGGATGGCCTGCCAGGCCTTCCAAACGAAAGATAAGTCCCAAAAAGGAATCTGTGCCGGGCGGAAAGGTCTAAGCCGTCTCGACCCCTGCATGAAACGGGAAACCAGAGGGTGACATCCCGCTGAAACACCTCTTATGGGTAATGCTCAGCAGATATGGCTGCCACATAAACCTTAAGAGTGGCAGGGCCCTACAGGAAAATGGACTTAAGGGCATACAGCGCCTCGTGGAGGGAGCCCTTGAATTAAGAATAGTGTTGGTAATCTCTGCCAAGAGACTGGAATACATTACAACTTTACAGCCACACCCATTACTTCCAAAAATCCGGATGGGATGTCCAAATCATGCCCCGAGCCTAAGTCAGCAGGTCGTGTCCGAGGGGAACCTCCCAAGGGGACTGGCTAACAGACTGACCAATTCCGAGAACCACGTCTGAGTGGGCCAGACAGCACCACCAACAACAGACGTTCCACTCTGACCACCCGTACTCTAAACGGAACCATTTGGGAGCAAACGGGTCGACGGGAAGGCATAAAGACTGGTCCTGGCCAATCTTGGCTAGAGCGTCCACACCCAGCGGCGACGGAGGAGACAAGGAAACCAGAGCGGGCAATGCGTATGCTCTAAGCAAACAATCACCTCCTCTCGGCCGAAACTCTGCCATATGAGACTCACCACCTGAGGGTGCAATCTTCATTCTCCGGCCTCCAAACTCTGTCTCAAGCGTAAGTCCGTTCCTGAGTTCAGGTGACCTGGGACATGAACTGCTCTGATCGAAGGAACTTGGTCTGCGTCCAAAGAACACGTCTCACCAACCTGTACAGGGGGCGAGAGCGTAATCCTTTCTGACAATCCATGTATGAGACCACAGCCGTCCTTGACCTAAATGTGACAACCACTCAATTGGGGTAAGAATCGAGTGCCAGAAATGCTGCTCCAAACAGTTTGTGTGATTGAGCTCCTTAGATCGATGGTCACAAACCAATCTCCGGTTCAGATAAAGACAGGATGAACTTCTGCGTCAGCATCTTGAAATTGCTTACTCCAAGCACAAGGTTAGGTGATTCAAATCCAAATCAACGCAAACCAGTCACACTAAAAGTGACAGCGTTACTCCCAAACGGCTGGTCGCCATAGAAGCTGGATGGTGTAACCATACGACAGACTAATCATCCCTCATGAGGCCCCGAGACACATGAGTTGCAGGAAAAACCTCTGAAACAGGAAATGGATACTAAAATTAGGCATGCCAGCACCAACCACAAGAGTGAGGGGCTTGGATGTCAACATAGACCCTGCATCAATGGCCTTAGGGCTATCCTCTTGATCTCCGAAAGCTAAGGCGCGGAGAACGGTCAAAATCAGTCTGAAACGCAACAGAGAGGCAAACACACTTATAGGTTGCCCACATTCATGCAAAAGTTCCAGCTCGATGCAACAGCGGAGCTGAAAAGAACAGAGTAATTAGTCATGCAAACCACTGCTTGGTAGCATGAAACACCCAACATTTCCAGCGCACAATAATGTATGCAATATGTAATTACACAAATTACAAGCATCTGAATACAACATAAAACAGTTACAAATAAAGTCAGTAACAGTATTCAGGTGCAGAAATATAATAATTAAGTGTAAAATAACACAATAGTGCTCACTGCACACATTAAAATACAGATTAATCTTTGTTAAAGCTGTGGTGTTATTTGATTAGCAGACAGAAGCAAGTATTTATTGGCTGCTGTCCCTTTAAGACCAAATGCACGGGCCTAATACTGACACACATCCAGTTTCTTTCTCAGCTGTTTACTTTCACTTAAGACATAACCGACTGTGTTTAGAATACTTGCCAAAATGGGTATTTTAACACAACTTTGTGTGTATGTGAAAGAGGAACCATTTCGGTGTTCACGCAGTGTCTCTCTCTCTGCGTGTGCGCGCTTCGGGTGTGTGCAGCAGCGGCTGAGCGCACAGAAAACAGCACACGAGTTAAAATAGCTTGAATGTGTAAATTGGCAAGAGAAAACGTGCAAATGATAAACTTTCACTCTATGATGGTTAAACTTAAAGGGGTCATATGTCATTTCTCCGATCACAAATGCAGACATGGTTTTATGTTTACGCGGCGCGATGCAACGCAACGCGCAAAAAGACAGTATAAGTCATCATCATCCATAATTATGTGCCCACTGGATGCAACAAATGCCTCGTTTATAATGGGTTTTAATGTTTTTGTCTCGTCGCTCTAGCCGGGACATGGCATCACAGTATGGTTAGGGACGTAACATTTCTGTCACACACTTGAGGTATTCGGCCAATCACAACTCACTGGATAGCTGGCCAATCAG